ATTATATTGCTGTTTTCACAAACAAACCATAAATGAAATATATATTAGCGTAACATGCTAGGTAAAAACTTAAAAAGTGTTTCAGGTACAATCAGCAACGAGAAGGACTCTGTAAAGTAACAAAAATGTTGTGGCAAAAGTCGAACTCTGTTAAGTAACACAAATATTGGGGCAGGAGTCCCATGTCGATTGTTTGTTGAGATTAGAGCGAACTAGACAGGGTAAAGTTGGGCAGATAATTGGTATTTCTATCTTTACTTTCCTTCCTAGAACAATGGTTTGTTTGTTTGTTAACGTCCTTGTAACAGCCAGGGTCATAAACTTAAAGAAGACACGAGCGATAGAAAACGAAAAAAGAGTCCAGGTGTTGCAATCGGCGGCACCAAATCAGTTTTGCTCTCTTCCATGTCTCCTTCGTAGAAGACATGGAAGAAAACCCCTGATTATTCAGGGGACCCATAATTAGTCGCCTTCTACGATACACAAGCAGTAGGATATAGCAGGTATATTCTTTACTTCTTCAATGTCTCCTTAATAGAAGGCAGGGAAGATACTACCATTCCATTCTACAAGGGGATAAACATTAGTCGCTTCTGTCGATCGTGCAGTGAGATACAGCAGGCCTTTCTTTCTCCGAATCTGCACGGGTTTCCATAAAACAAATTACAAAGTAATTCAGTATTTCGAATAACGACTAACTGTCCATTCTTTATTTTGTTGCGAAACTTATATTTCACCTGATGTACAACACACTTCCGAAAGGGGAGAATAAGGCTTATTGGACCTCTTCGGTACAATACTTTAATTACCAACACAACATGACAGTAAACGCAATAATTATCAGTGTTCTTTAGCTATAATTATTAGGGAAACATTTCGTTTTATGTTCAATAAACATGTCAAATAAACGCCAACATAATGGTATCCGCAGTATTTGCATTAACGTACAAGAAAAATCCGTTTCTTTATCTGAATTAAAAATAACCTTCGAAAACAAACAACTCCATATATGTCACCGGATTAATAAAAAACGGAAGAATTATTCAACTATGCTTGTTGTCTAGCTAATTGGCGTTGGTTGAAAGGTCGATTGACTGGATTTGAACAATCTTTCCACTTTCAGGTCTTTATCTTACCTAAATTGACTTAAGCAATTTTTAAAGTCACAATAACGTGAGCTTATAAACAGACCATAAAGATCACCGATATATATATCAGCATTCTTGAGTTTACATTATTTTTCGAACATATGACTTTTAAATGCAGTAACTATTTTTGATGGGTAAAAACTAGTTTTTGTATAAAGTCAGGAGGTGAACTTATACACAGAACATAATGATCAATGAGATATTAGTCAGTATTCTTGAAAATTATTATGATACTATTTCCAGTTTTCGAACATATGACATTCTAAGGCAATCCAATTATTAAAATTCAAATCAAGATCACATTTAAAATCAAGGCATACTTTGCAGCAACATACAAGACACCTAAATTTTGTAGTGGTAAAAATACGGAAGCGTACAAATGTGTTAAGTACCAAACAATATGGCGTATATCATATGTCAATTAATCGATTGATTAACGAGATCAAGGTGGAAAAAACGTTCCACATCAACTGTCATAAAACACCTTCTTTACTTATAAACAATAACTTAAACGTTCATACGATACGTATCGAGGATCTTGAGAGTAATACTGTTTTCCATTTTCCCAAAATATAAACTTGATAGGTAAATAATAAGGTCGGATGAAGGTTAAATCAACATCAATTGTACACGCAATATTTGCAACACTATAAAGTGTATCCTATTTATATATGTCAATCTAAACATACGCCCGGAAGATAAAAATAGCACGCAGCTCACCTTAAAGACAGTAACCAACATCACACTCGGTAGTGAAATACGTGTACCTATTTAAAAATAAGTTCGATGATGCAGAAAATAAAGTTACAATTATTTCAGCACTATGGGAGATCAAGGTTCTTCTAAGACTCATTGTCTGAACGTAAGGTCTAACTAGTAAAACTCATTGAGCTAGGTTTTTCAGACATAAGTACGCACAAGATAAACTATGTCAGGACCAATTTCAGGTAGGACAAGAAGCAAAACTCGAGAACGCGATTGGTGTAACGATCTTCGCCCATGGTTCAGCCCTTTACATAGATAGCACAACTATTTAAACATATCTGTATTTTATTGTGACAAGCCCCAGGTCACTATATGATATTTTCAAATACCTAATATAAGTAACTAGGAAGTATAGGATACGTTTTTGCACTTATTCACGGGTGCCGTTTATTAAGGAACTCATATTAGATTATACAATGAACAATTCCTCACATCTCTCCAATTCTCTCATAACACTGTACATTAAAGGCGGACTTATGTTTGAACCCTGGGTACCAGAACTATCTGATGCATATCACGAGCAAAACAATACTTATCTCAATTTTTTAGTTCTGTAGTTTTGACAATAATAGAAATGAATCATGTTGAGAAAAACATCAATAAAAATAGCAACACTGATATAAACACTCCAGTGATCTCGACTGACGAACCTGTCTGAAGCTGTGTTTGACGTAGTTTCACAAAATGGCGGCTCTCATTCACACTCGCAACGTCCACGATCTTTGCCAAACCATGACCTTTCTCGTTCTCCCTAACTTTTCGACATCACTGAATTATTTGAATTTGAATAATAACCCTATTAAACATAAGAAACACTTGAACAAGAGTTAATACCGTTTGAATGGACACTGTGTCTGCAAATATGTGCTTGATAAATGAAGAAACTTTCAACTTTTTTTTAAACCACATTTACATTAGGGTGTACAAGTGTTCTTGGACAATGTGATGCAATACTGATACTATGTTTTTTAACGATGTATTTGTAAAGATAAAATTTCAATATTTAAAAATAATTTATGTTGAATATGCGATAACTAAAAATAATATACTAAAATTAGTTCGATGCTATGGCATATACTTCATTCCACCACTTGCTGAATCATTAAGTAAACCAATAACAAATAAAAGTAAAATTATTTATTCATTTATATAATAGTTACAATACCTTAGTATGCGGCAGTGCAATTATATTTTCAAAAATCACAATGAACAATGTCTTTGACCGTACTACAGGTTAATGATGTTAGTTAAGATTCCCATTTCGTCCAAAATGAAATGTTGTTATCAGCAAATCAACAAATAACTTGATACCGACTCGGTTTCTGCGGCGACTGCATCAATCCATGTTCGTTTTAAACGGACATGCCCCCGCGATGTGACGTCATTAATAAACGCCGTCACTAATCATGATGATAAAACATATTGTATTTTAAATGTTGTTTTATGATTCTTACAATACAAACTATGACCTAAGGTAAGTACATACTGACTACAAACTGTTTTATGTCCAGGAATTATTAAGGATGTACACTTCTTAGGTTTCAATCACGTTCAAGTCTTGTTTTGATCTTATGTAACGGGTTTTTGTAAAAATTATGATAGGTATCATAGCAAACACACATCTGAAAAACATGTAAAAAAAGTAGATGTCTGTTGGGTGTAGAACATTTTTTACAAGAGTTTTTAAAAAATGACCCATTTGGCGGCCATTTTGAAAAAGTGTATTTATCTGAATTTCTTGCGCTTCACAAAGGGCCAAAATGTCACCTTATTGACACTAGATTGATCACTTAAATTGTCATTGTGTCACCAATTTTAATTGTAGCAGGTTCAATTTTGCTGTACAACTTTATAATGTTCAATATGATTAAAATAATATGCAAAAAAATGGAAAGTTATATATTATTGATATTTTGTTTACATATTAGGGTAACTGAAGCACTTTTGATTTTTGACCCCGAAAAGGTGAAAAATAATAATGGGGCAAAGAAAGAAGCACACCGACCCCACATTTTTGTGGCTGTTTTAGAAAGAGAAACTCATTTTCTTTTGATTCATTGAATACAAAAAAAGTTTAATACAGTTTCTTTTTATATCAAGGGTTTAATCTGCAAAAAATGGTGAAAAATTTGCATTTTTTCATTAAAAAATAAGGGGTAGGGGTAACTAAAATCGCATTTCTGAGTAAAATGAATAAGAATAAGAAATTTTTATTTCCATAGTTTCAAAGAAAATAATATTTTTATCAATTCTACGAACATTCATACATGTACATATCTGATAACACACTTGGAAGAAATTGTATGAATTTGTTCTGCAAATGGTCAAAACCCAAAAAATCACCTAAAATCACATATTGTGTTTAATTGGTATCTTTGACCGATCACAGCACAAAAACGAACACACCGACATAAAGTTTTTTTGGCATTTACTACTATGCCATTAACTCCTTTTTCCAAAAAGCCATATAAGAAAAAAAAATTAATACAGTATTTCTAAGAGGTGTACATCCTTAAACAGCTTTTAGATGAGATTCAAAGGCATTATTAAAACCCACCTGATAACAGGTTCATGTCGTTTTCCTATAGTGTAGTGGGCCTATGAATAACATCTGAAAGCATTTTAATCCCGAACTACTTGAAACTAAAGATGCAGCACAATTCACATTTTTACAAGAAATTTTACATGTTGTCTGACTATGCCAAATGTATATAAGCGCTGTATAGGAATATTAACAACACATACAGCTGTCATTCTATTAATAAAAGGTACATACTAAAGCAATAATTATTACTGGAAGGAATAATAATCAATACAAATAAATATATGCTTTCGTCATCACTTGAGCCCACATTTTGGTTAATACTGTAAATCAGTTTGATCAACGATCCATTTATTTCTTTGTTTTTGTCTGTTTCAAATTAATATGATATTTTTATTCACAAAGTTTAAATGGCTTTGTAAAATGAATAAGAATGTGTTGACACTGTTATGAATTCGTTTGTTATATTCAACATTGATTTATAAATAAACTGCTTTCATAGTATATTATGAATTCTTAAGGGGCTTTATATATACACATTCCCTTATTTAATTTAATTTGCTCAGCAAAATCACACACATTATTATAGAGTCCCATAAAGTTCAAATTCAACATTACCATTGACAATGTAATTTCATAGAATCACATTCGAGTTTTGATAGCAAACAAAAACAAAACACAAAGTTTCCGGTATCAACACAGCTCTTTCACACTGCCGATATTACACTTTACTTGAATAGTCCTACCCAGGATCAATATTAAAATGAAAGATGCATACTGTGCTAAGAGAAGAAACTGTAAAAATAACAAAAATCATATATTTCGCTCAATTTCTAATATATAAGCAGGTATCCAGAGGAAAACAACTGTGAAGTAGAATGCTATCTATGTGGCACTAATGTATTGTACGTCACACTCATGGAAAAGTAGCTAGGGTGATATTTATCATGTATGCTATCTATGTGGCAATACTCTTTGGTACGTTTCACTCATGGAAATGTAGCTAGGGTGATATTTGGACCTAGTGCTTGCAACACTGCCTCGATTGGCGTCACAACTCCTGCTCTGTACTGGTAATTACTAACATTGGCGCTGCCAATTGCCATTCCGATACAGTGTAAAACCCCGTGAAGGTCCTTACAAAACACTCCAGAACCGGAGTCCCCTTTTTCAAAAAAGTTTGCACTCGGATGAATTCCTATAACCTGATATTGATCTTTCATTTCTACATCACCCACTCCACTCGGCAAACCTAGTGCAGTCGATAATGGCCTGACGTTAACACCAAACACACTTAAAGCTCCCCTCGTCACGTCGGTTTTACTTCCAAATTTTACCACATTTTGTGTAGAACCTAGGCCGTTGACACCTGCGACTGTTAGCATAGCTCCATTGTTGTACTCGGGCATTTCGTTAAAGCCTAGAAGAGATAAAATACTAGTACTATACTTGCCAGAAATCTTTCAAATATACTCGAGAAAAAAGTAACGCATTGTTTGTGGAAATTTAGTAAAGGTTATGCAAGATATTTCAGTTTAGCAACTTACTCTCTCCTTTCTTGATCAATCTATGAGAAAAGAATGATATTGTAACACAAGCGGCATAAACTCATTAGACGTCGACTGACACATTTGAAACAATCGGACCGGAAAACGTAAAGGAGACTCGTCAGTAAACAGGACACGTTTCCAATCAGCCAAGCGGTTAACTATAAACATGTGCATGGAAATATTACAGACGGAAATGGCGTCGCTTTTGATTAGGGTGCAGTCAAACGTAAGGACGCCGAGGCCTTAAGTTGAGACTCGCAACCGATTTGTGACGTTCTTGGTACACTCGCAGTCTGCAGTTATCAGTGACGTTGTTTACTATTCCCTTCGCCGTTTAACAACGGTGTCACATGTGAAACAGACGTTTCGCTCTGTTTTGACGTCGCGTCGTTACAGGAGAAACTCCAATTTTGAGATGTATATCCCTCAGTGTGCTTAACGTTAGCAACTCATATACCACATAAAACGTTGTCGGTTTTATATTTGGGCCTAACAACACTATGAGTCAATTAACAACAGTATTTAGAGCACTTATACCACCAATTCAAAACAAAGGTTGCGTTACGTTTTTTCCCTACATGCATTTCATTTTATGTTAGGATTGTGATAAAATTACTGGATGTGTTAAAATTCTTATTATTTAACTGATCTGATATCATCAATTGCATGCAACTATTATGAAGCTTACATTAATCATCGTTAATTTTATTGTGGTACTAAGGCAATAAAAAATTACGAAAAACTAACAGTAACAAAGAAAATATTGTAAATATATTGATGTTTTGTGAGGGATGAATATACAACACACAATATGATGCCTTAGTCATTGCTGGAAATCATGTCCAAACAATGCTACAAATATAAAATGAATGGATTGCCTTACATCAGCAGTTTGGCCATTGCCTTTTAAAATTGATACACATATGTGAACGTAACCGACGCTGTCTGATCCGTCATGAGATATGTGATCGTAAGCTAAAACATTTTGATTTTTTTTTTATATATTGTACTTTATTTTATTTATGTTCTATATTTTGTCCATTTTTTTTTGTGAGATGGATACAACAGCTTAACACATTCTTTGATAATCAAATAATCAATTGTATAATACTGTACAAAAACAAACGGACTGTAACATATATACCTGCATTTTTGTAGCTACTATGCAGTTCATTGGAGAATTGACCGGCGTTAGGTACCCTGGCAGTATCTGTCAACCTGACAACTGCAGCATCAACGCTAGGTTTACGGGTAGGATCAAAAATGGCTCTCTCTACAACTCCACAGGCAACGCCACCTTGAAATTGAGTTGCATCGGTTGATGGCTGTACGACCTCAACTGAATGTGTGGCACTAGCTGTGAAATCCAAAGTATATGTTGGTGAAGGGATGTCAAACAGAACGTGTGCACAGGTGAGAAAACCAAGATTGTTATTGTACCTAACACAGGGGCCAAGAGTACCACCAAGGTTTGGAAGAAGATTTCCCTGTGCGTTGTATTGGGGTGTCAACCGTCCAATATTGCAACCCATCTTGAGAGTTGGATGCGGCCACGTACTAGGCAGTGATCGGTAAACACTATGTTCGAAAAGACCTTCGCGCACATCAACATCTATATAGTCATCCTTGTCTATATGTAATCGCCTTGGAAATCTTTCTTCGCCAAGTGGGATGACGCCCTTGGTACTGCAGTATAGGACAACACAGTGTCTCTTCTCAATATCTGATCCATTCCTCCGATATTTTATGTGACTGCCAGTGATGATATTCAGGTTGCTATGTTTCTTCCAAAGAACCTGACGATGAATTTTTATGGCCTTTTTTGTTTTGTCAATAGCTTTTTCACATAAGTTCATTTCGATGTTTGGTTCGAAAATTGCTGCTTTTTGGACGACGTACGGATTACTGAGCTTCACCAAAGCCAGTCCGTTAAAGTTGTATTCAGATGCCTGAACCACATCTGGTGAATACACAATAAACACCCGTGAGCGAATATCGTCGTTTTCGTGTTTGTGTCCTGGAACGATTGCCGGTTGCAGTTCACAGTGTTTTTGTTTCAGCCTTTTTGCGAGCTCCAACATAAACACTTGTTCCATTTTTCTACTGAGTTGTATGTTTTGAAAACAACAACTGATATTGTCTTCTCCAGCACATTGTACCAACGATTCTGTAATTTCGGTTCTATCAAGAAACGTTGCTATGTATAATGCCGTTGCTTTCTCGACAGTTATTGCGTCCAATGTATCCCCAAATCTGTTTCCGGAGACTGTATATTGTTCATCCCATTTAATTCCATTCCAATTGTGCATAAGCTCTACCATTGTGGTAGTTCCATACACAGCCACTGAATGTAGAAGACTGGCACAGGAATCATCGTTTTGATATGTTGTAGCAAACGTCTTTTCCAACATATAGAAATCGTCCATGTTACGTTCCTTTACAATGTTCATGAACCACTTTGCATCTAAAACAATATTCATATTCGTTAATTGCACTTAAAAATAAACAAACGAAGGGGAAAATATTTGATTTTGATGATGAAACTGTATTGTTATATAGAAAACATTGATCTTGAATTTACGTATGATTATCAACGCGAAGAGTATTAATCATTAAGACGTATTTGTTTCTAAAAAGGAAGACAGAAACAGCGAGATAAAAAAACTGTCAACTAAGAATTCCTGCTCGAACTTGGATCATATTTTACTTCAATAGCTGATTCGAGGTTGGGTTTGATTACTGATAGCGAATTTAAGTACTCAAAAATAATCGATGATATCCCAGCGTAGTTTGTCTGAACACATAAAGACTAAGTAAAGACATAAAAACACATAATCGATTCCAAACAAACGATATAAGCAACAAGTTCATTATATATAAACGCTTATTTATTTTAACGGCACTTTGATCTTAAAATCTTTTTTAATAAAAGCAAATTTATTGACCTGTGGAACATAAATAACGGGTTTAAAATGAGAAAATTGAGTTATTTAATTTCCTACCATGTTTATAAGCAGTTGATATGTCGGATGTCATCGCCGAGTGTAGCCCTTTATCTGAATCAACTTCAGGATTATCCAATATTCCTTTAGATGGAAAATTCATTTGAATCCTCTGAAAGTATAATGCATATTTTCATTCATTGGTACATCATAACAGTGATAACTTTCAATGCAGTGAAGATGTAACAATAGGTTGTGACGATATGCCGTGAGGTTATTTTCCTTATTATTGATCAATAATTTCCGTCAGTATAATGTGACCGGGCGGAATGCTGTGCTGGGTGCTTTCGGCATGGTATTCGAGTGAGATAGCACTATTAAGTTGGCATCAGATCCGCGATACCACGAGGAGGCAAATATACCAATATACATTGTCTCATGCACTCATACACGCATGAATGCATACACAACACACATGGAGGCTCGACCTTAAATGACCTTAGCTGTTAATAGGACGTTAAACAATTCAAACCAAACCATCAGACAGTCTGTCTAATCCTTGGGGATACATACATTCCAAACTGATCCATACTTCCTAAAACTTCACAGGAGACTTATAGAACACAACTGGAATAGCTAAAACCAATCCCTGAAGGAAGATTAACCAGTCAATAAAGGAGACATTACCAGAAACACAGAAGTACATATAGCTCCATCCAAGAATGGTGGGATATATCGAAATTTTAAATTATATATGCATATCAACGAGGAAAATATCAGAATAAAACAGACTCAGATAATATTGAAAAAAACGTGGAAGATTATTATCAAAAAAGGCAACAGCAGCCAGAATTAGGTCAAAAGTTAAATGGTACGAAGAAGGGGAGAAATCAACAAAGTATTTGTTTTTGGTCTTGAACATTTAGAGGTAAAAAAACCTTGGACGTCATTTAAAAGGGAGGATGGAACATATACATATAAAATTGAGGATATATTAAAGAAACAAGTGGGATTTTACAAAACGTTATTTACAACAGAGGGGATAAACGAATTAGAAGCAAATAGACTATTAGAAAATGTTAATACAATGTTGAATGTAATGCAGAAAGAAAATGGTGATCATCTACCAACAGAGAAAAAATAACATTTGTAATAGATAATATAAAAAGTAACAAAGTACAAGGTGCTGATGGTATTCTTTCAGAGTTCTACAAAAAGTACTGGTACCTGATAAAAATGAACTAACAGAAATGATAACATATATTTGACAAACAAATGTTTTAACATATAGCCAGAACAGAGGCATCATCATGTTGATGTACAAACAAGGAGAGCGTGAGGAAATAAAAATTTGGCGTCTAATTACCCTACTAAACAATGACTATAAGATAATTACAAAACCAATAGCGGAGAATACCACATATCATACATCCAGACCAAAAAGGCTTTGTTAAAGGAAGAAATATTGAAGAAAACATACGACTAATTCAACATAATATAGAATACTCAAACCTAGAAAGAGTTGGGGGTGGGATATTGTTTTTAGTCCGGAAAAAAACTTTTGATCTAGTTGAATGGACATGGGTACGCATGTGTCTTAAAAAATATGGTATTGCAGATCAGCTTATTCAATGGATAGAAATGACGTACATTAACTCACACAGTCAATTACTAACAAATGGGTTTATATCAAACTTTTTAAAAAATTGGTCGTTCCGTAAAACAGGGCTGTCCGCTCGCCCCGTTAATCTATATTATGCAAGCTGAGCCATTAGGTGGCAGAGTACAGTAGAAATGGCTTGACCCTAAAAATAAAGGGCATGTCTCGGATAAACATGGATAGCGGATTCATCCTGCACAACACACCTACATATATATATATATTTATAAACTACATTTTTAATAGGTGTTTTTTAGAAGAACATTTTTTTTTTCAAAAAGTGATTTCCCCAGATTTGGGACTTCTGAAAACCATGGTTACCACATCAAAAAACACCAAAATATGCAAAAAATCATGATTTTTAACCCAGAATTTGACCCCCGCAAGTAGAATTGTTTTTCTTAAAACCTGTCTGAAATTAAATATCGCCTACTCGGTAACAGAAATACTCACGTTTTAGCATAGGTCATTCCGGTGGATTTTTCACAATATTTACACATGTGCTGAGTACAAAAATAGACTACATGAAAAGCTAGCTTTTGTTGTGTAGACACAGATTCGTAAATGCCCAAAATTGTAGTCTCAAACCAAATTCGACTTTTCTTTTTTTTAAATTATGAAGCCCACATAGTCCACTTCATCATGTATATGCCAATTTTAGTGCTGATTTTTTTTTTAAATTTTGATACATGTTATATTACAGGGGTTATTCATTGTATAAAAATATCACCCATGGCCACCGTACGCTACTGTACTCTGCTACCTTATACATCCCTTTTTTTCCCCAAAAATTCAATCAAAACCTTTTAAATGTCTGGAAAATGACACAATGAACAAAAAGATGTATCCGTTTCCTTTCTCACTTTAAAAGTGACCGAGTAATATGAATTCTCCTGCTAGGTGATTTTTTACCAATTCTGCTCTCAAACTACCAACAAAGGGAGGTAATCTGAAAAATTAAAACTTGAATAACTTTGTAGTTTTCAGGAATAATTTTTTTTTTGGGGTAAAATATGATGCTTTAAGATCATGTGCATGTGAAAAACAAAACAGAACAGTGATACAAGGATGTTTCTGTCTTGTGTGATGACGTCATAGTTACTGTGATGTCATCATAACTATGACGTCATCAATGGGCATATGTGACATCATCAAGGCTCACTGATATCAAAATGAATACCAGGAAACCCATCACAACAACAAACTAGAAACAGACACACTTCCCGTAACCGATGAACAGCACAAAACTGTCAGATATTCTGAAACATCAGACAAATGACACCATAGCAACCGTTGTTTACTTTCCTCGCCTAGAATTGACAGTGACCCCAGACATTGGTCATTTTACATATTTCACTAGAAAAAAAAGTTTTCTTCAGCTGTAATTATGGAAATAAAATTTATTGACATTATTGACTTTGTTAATTTAATCTGTAAGCTGAATCAAGTGGAAAAAAACATATAAAATAGTGTAATTAGAATGAAAACAGATATTTTACCCATTTTCAATAAATACAACTTTATGTGTTAGTTACCATGGATACCGGGTGCTGAACTAAGTGAAACAGACTGAAATCTGGTCTGAATGCATCAGGAGATAGCCTGTTAATTATTTGTTGTTTGGTATCAACTTTACCAATTACACAATTGACACATATGTGATGAAGTGTGAAGTGCCTGTGAAAAGGGCGAGTTAACCCCTCTTTATACATTCACAGGTAATAGGCTAGTGACCTATATATTGACCTTTATATGTAACTTTTTAAACGTTTTGAGTAGTTTTAAGCAATAATGAATGAAAGTGAAGCTGAATAAAGCATAAAAAGGCTTTTTTTCAGAAAAAATCAATGTCTGTGTGTATAAGGTGGCAGAGTACAGTAGAAATGGCTTGACCCTAAAAATAAAGGGCATGTCTCGGATAAACATGGATAGCGGATTCATCCTGCACAACACCTACATATATATATATATTTATAAACTATATTTTTAAAACGAACCTATTATTTTTAAAGAACTTTATGAAATCAGGCATTTTTAAAATAAATGACATTTGGGATGAAACTAACAATGGCTTTATTTCATCAGTAGCACTACTACAAAAACTGCATCAAAAGGAAAAGTGGATCTCTGAATTTTCTAGAATTAAACAATCTATACCTAAGGTTTGGACAACAAAATTAAAAACAAATATCTATGTACAAGATGACAGTAACTTTGCTATATAAGGAACGGTGTTTCATTTTGTTATCGTTGTGTGGTTTCCTAATAAAAATTACCAACATAGTTTGTGTCATGACCTCACATTTCTCTTGTAACTAGTCATGTGTTCATATCGAGATACCAAATGTTGACAACATGGACTCATTTTACGTACTTAAGAACAAATATTGTAATGCATATGTCAATATTATGAACAACAAACCTCTTTCGGATCTGCTCCTTTGTCCAACAACATCTTAACGATGTCGGTATTGCCTTGATGTGCTGCTTGATACAATGCACCAGACTGGATAAACAAACAACATAATATCAGTAAACAAAATGAGATTTAAAAAGGATAATGTTATTATAACAGGTCTACAGCATCGATTTGTAAAATACATTATTTGTGATATCATTATTTTTGTTAAATTTGTATGTAGTTTATTTATAAACAATCATAGGTTGTAAGTTTGTTACGCGTTAATGACATTTTTGAAGACTAACGGATACAGATCAATGTTTATCTCATCGAGTAAATATCTCGTCACCAACATCACTTTGTATTTTCCTTATTAAAGTTTGTTTAAGTGACTTGTGACTTTTATTACCAAATCATAATAAATGAAACAAATATGTATGATTTTAAACATTCAAATGCTGTGTGATTATAACGCAAACACTATTTGATGACTAAGTAAAAAGTCTAGATTGACGTTTAACAAATAATTTCCCAGCATGTCATCGTGATAATCAACGTTAAATGTCACGTATTATGTAATCAGAATGTTCTAGAAAGACAATTAAAATTATCAACGGGATCGTTTCCTGTGTCGTAAGGGTATCAAAGGATATGCGATCAAGTAAGAATTCAAGAATTACACCATTTATTTTTTAAAAGCAATGGACATCATTCGGAATTTTCCTTTTAAAAGAACATTTTCTGTTATTCATTTTGTTTATATGTTACACGGGACTGCGATCAAAGGATGGACTTTCCATTGGGTTACAATGATTTTTGCATCAGAAAATTATGTCAACGTGTTGTGTATAAAGAACGATGTTTTATTTGGTTTTAGTGTTGTTTTGCACTAATGTTTTCAATAATAATTCCCTATTTACGTTTTCGCTTGAATCTACAGAAAATAAAAGATATTGTTCTTTTCCTGGTACCACATATTTTCTCCCCCTCTAAACTAATACATATTAATACATTTTACAATAGTTGACATCAAAAATTCTTTTACAAATCTAAATGTATAACTTTAAAACACACATTTATCAATGCCAATATGACCATTAGATACTGCCTCTGTTAAGGGATAAATCTGGACAAAAGTAACATCAAATATGTAACGAAATACAAGACAATCAGAGTCGGTATTGTAAGACACATATACTGAAAGCGGATTCGTTTCTGATGTAATGAGAGTTAAAAAAATAACGCTAAGAGATTTGATCAAAATCAGCTAATGTTCAATTTTAGTTTATAAATAAAGAAATATATGCAGTCATAAAATACACGGGATTTCAAACAAAGCGTGGCATTAACGACCATAACAATAAATGTCTGCATGAGAAAATAAGCCTAGCATTGCAGTTTTAGCATGTTTGGAAAAACGACCGGTGTTTCATTTTGTTATCGTTGTGGGGTTTCCTAATGAAAATGATACAAAATCGTTGGTGTCATGACCTCACATTTCTTTTCTTTTAACTTGTCATGTGTTCATATCCAGATAAAAAAAATGACAACGTGGAATTATTTCACGTACTTAACAACAAATGTTGTAACGCATATATCAATATGATGTAAAACAAACCTCTTTCGGATCTGCACCTTTGTCCAACAACATCTTAACGATGTCGGTATGGCCATTACATGCTGCTTGACACAATCCTTCAGACTGGATAAAAAACAGCATTATACCAGTTAACAAAATGAGATTTAACAAAGATAATGCTATTATTTCAAGTCTGCACAATCGCTTTGTAATATACATTATTTGTGACATCATTATTTATGTTAACTTCCTATGCGATATATTTATAAACAATCATAGGTTTATTAGTTTGATAGCGTTAATGACATTTTTGAAATCTAACGGAGATATATTAATGCTCATCTGATCGAGTCAATATCGTGTCATTAGCATTACTTTTTTCCCCGTTATTAATGTTTGTTAAAGTGACTTGCTAGTTATTATTACAAAATCAAAAAAAGTATAATAACATATGATTTTAAACCTTTAAATGCCGCATGATTATCACGCAAACACTATTGATGACTTAAAAATAAATCTAGATTAACGTTTTACAAATAATTTTCCAGCATGTCGTCCTTAATATTCAACGTTACATGTCATGTGCTATGTTATTAGACTAATCTGGTATACAGTATTTTGTTGTAGTGGTTATTGTTACCGATTTTTGAAATAATCATTCGGTATTATAGTTAAGGCTTGAAAACAACTTAAAATAATAAAAAGTGTTAGTGCCCTGGAATTACATCTTATTTCTGACTCTTAACTAATTCATGGCTATTTATAGAACAAACTTTGATTACATTGATTTATTTACAAACCTAAATATAACTTTAAATGACACATTTACAAATGACAATATGGCTGTACATGCAGCCTCCATCAAAGCATTACGCTGTACTGAAACATACCCGTAACAAAATGCAAGATATTGTCAGAGTCCGTCCAGTAACACGCATAAAATGTACATGGAGTAAGTTCTGGTGAAGTAAGTGGTTGAATTATAACTTTAAGGAATTTGATCAAAATCAGCTAATGCTCATTTTGATCAAGTTGCAAAAAATAGATATATTCGTAAATATACCCTACACAGGATTTACAAAAAATAAGTTGGCATTATCGACAATCACAATGAATATGTGCATATGAATATATGCTTTTTATTGTTGTAGTATAATGTATGGAATACCGAACGACAATTCAGTTTGCTGTCCTTCTGTTGAACTTAAATTCCAAGCATGTCATCATTAACATTTTATCAAGTTTACAATATCAATTTATTCATAGAAAGCGTGGCTTTAACAACCATAGCATTTAATATCTGCATAAAAATACAAGCGTATCATTGCAGTATTAGCATGTTTAGAAAAACGACCGGTGTTTAATTTTGTTGTCGTTGTGTGGTTTCCTACTGAAAATGAGCAAAATAGTTTGTGTCATGACTTAACATTTCTCGTCTTTTAACTTGTTATGTGTTCATATCCATATACTAAATGTTGACAACATGGAATCATTTCACGTATTTAAGAACAAATATTGTAACGTATATATCAATATGATATAAAACAAACCTCGTTCGGATCTGCTCCTTTGTCCAACAACATCTTAACGATGTCAGTATGGCCATTACTTGCTGCGTCTTTCAATGCATCAGACTGGATAAAAAAAACCCATCGTATCATTAAACGAAGTGAGATTTAACAAGGACATTTTTTTTAATTTCAGTTTTTCAGCATCGCTTTGTGAAATACATTATTTGTGACATCATTATTCTTAATTAATTTGTATGAGCTTTAAAAACAAGTATAGGTTTATTAGTTTGATACACGCTAATGACATTTTTGAACTCTAACGGACATAGATTATTGCTCATCTCACAGAGTAAATATCGCGTGACCAACATAACTTTGTATTTTCCATCTTAATGTTTGTTTTAGTGACCTGTGACTTTTTCTGACCAAAATAAACAAAAAAATCTCAATATATGATTTAAGACTTTAATAGGCAGTGTGAACATGACGCAAACACTGTTGATTTGTTGATGACTGATTATCAAGTCTATATTGACGTTTTACAAATAATTTCCCATGATGACATCATTAACGTTCTCCTTGTCAATATACAAAAAGATGAAAGCTGCGTAAAACTAGTAGGCACCACTAGCATTTTTTTTATTAAGGTGCAGAGAATAATTCAGGAAGTTATCTTGAACGTTTTTTCAGTAATAGCTCGGAAACGCCACCGGATGCATGTACAGACTGACTGTCTGACAGGCTAACGGAACCTTTTTGTATCTTTTCCGCCAACTTCGTTGAGCACTACAAATAGCAAATGTTTAAATAGGTGCAGCAAATATGTTTTGGTGGCTTTTGTGTACCCAAATGAAGGACATATTGAGCAAATTCCGTATTCTGCAGGGAAATACCAGATTGGTTGCCTATTTCAACATGCAATGGTACATTCTTGTAACAGCGGGTATATTTTCTTCTGAGTCCCCGACCTGCGTGCCGATTTGTTATGACTTCATAATAAAATAGTGTCGAAATAAAACCATGATGTCTCCGGGTTGGTCAGTTCACGGAAATTGCGATTTCAATAAGTGCATATTATCAAGGTCCATGATGCTATACATTTGTTTTCTGTTACCGACCCCTATACTGTTATAATGCCAGTGACAATATAATATTGACGACGTTAGTACTTTGATATTGATAAGAAATCATGTAAAAGGAACACTCGAAGTATACGCGGTGAATTTTGAACACTAGGTATTGTTCCAAATCCATTATTTGGTCTTGCAAGTTAGTTTTTGGTTATATGTTATAAGATATTGCAATAATGCATGATATTTCCGTTAATTATAAAACATGTCTGCAATAGAATATACACGCATAATTATGTCATTTTATATATTGAAGTCCGAGTATATCAAAACAACCAGACATAGATAAAAGCAAATATGATATAGTCGATCTCTTGTCAACAACTTTGCTTGATAATAAACGTTTTTCTTTCATAGCTTCACTCTGTGTTTGTTACATTATAAACACACACATTGTATGGTGTATATTTTCACTAGGTGCTTATTACAATATTAATGTTAATATTGTATGGTGTATATTTTCGCTCTGTGTTTGTTGCATTATTAACGTTAACATTGTATGGTGTATATTTTTGCTCTGTGTTTGTTGCATTATAAACATAAACATTGTTAAGTGTATATTTTCACTCTGTGTGTATTACAATATTAACGTACACATTGTATAGTGTATATTTTCACTCTGTGTCTATTTAACGCGCATATTGGAAAAATATGTTTGAACGGAACTGTTTTGCATACCCCCATAAATATTTTAAAGATGCATTTTAAATATTTTATTTATTTCTATTTCATAAGAACAAATCTTGTTTTTTATGTAAAAAGCAATGCACCGTCCTGAAAACAATTTTAATAGAACAGCCTTTTTCGCGTGTCACTGTTTCACTGTCGCTGAGGGGACTGGTCGACGAGCCGGGATGTGTTACTCTCGCTGAGGGGACTGGTCGACGAGCCGGGATGTGTCACTGTCGCTGAGGGGACTAGTCGACGAGCCGGGATGTGTCAATGTCGCTGAGGGGACTGGTCGACGAGCCGGGATGTGTAACTGTCGCTGAGGGGACTGGTTGTCGTGCCGGGATGTGTTACTGTCGCTGAGGGGACTGGTCGACGAGCCGGGATGTGTCACTGTCGCTGAGGGAACTGGTCGACGAGCCGGGATGTGTTACTGTCGCTGAGGGGATTGGTCGACGAGCCGGGATGTGTTCATGTCACTGAGGGGACTGGTCGACGAGCCGGGATGTGTCACTGTCGCTGAGGGAACTGGTCGACGAGCCGGGATGTGTTACTGTCGCTGAGGGGATTGGTCGACGAGCCGGGATGTGTTACTGTCGCTGAGGGGACTGGTCGACGTGCCGGGATGTGTCACTGTCGCTGAGGGGACTAGTCGACGAGCCGGGATGTGTCAATGTCGCTGAGGGGACTGGTCGACGAGCCGGGATGTGTAACTGTCGCTGAGGGGACTGGTTGTCGTGCCGGGATGTGTTACTGTCGCTGAGGGGACTGGTCAACGTGCCGGGATGTGTTACTGTCGCTGAGGGGAATGGTCGACGAATCGGCATGCGCTAATGTCGCTGAAGGGACTGGTCGACGAGTCGGCATGTGTTGATGTCGCTGAGGGGACTGGTCGACGAGCCGGGATGATTTGACCTGCTTCGCCACTTGCAACAAACGCTAGTGTAGAGGACATCGATTTCTTCTGTTCTGTTGAAAAGTACCTGCTATAAGATCTTATAGCAGACTCGCTTTGTTGGCCCGACATGAACATGATGTGCCTTGACTCAATTACACAGTCATGCATCCCCTGTATTGCTGTGGCACGGAGAAAGGGTGCGGTGTATTTTTTTCCGTTTTAGCACCCTTACAAATATCGGCCATGAACACACAGAAGGCACGAGGCGCTATCGGTTTACTTGTGAACCATATTTTACACTTAGACGTCGCTTTTTTGCTAGAGTGGTTAAATTACTTTTGTGCCATGGGATCAGTATTTTCTATGAAGAGTCGTAACATCGCCACTATACATTTGCTTCCCGTTTGGGGCCTTTGTTGCGTTTCGTGGCAAATTGTGACAAATTCTCCGTTCTCATCACTTTGAAACTTAAAGGAATTCAACCCTAACTGATGATGGAACCCTATCCCGCGACTGACTAAATGTATAGACAGGGAATACCTAGAAATCGTGTCGGAGGATAATCGGGAAAGTGTGTGATCCACTCAGGTAGGTGGCTATTGATGCTTTGTCATCTTTCTCAATGATATCCTTATGCTTTTTGGGTCGTGAAACACCAGTTTTCATGCAGGTTTTCAGAAGACCGTCGAAAGTATAGTTGGCTATTTAATATTTACCCTTCTTTCACCGTCGTTTTTAAAAATTGTAGTTACTTGTCTTTCATTAACTTTATCTTTATTTTGTATTTTTTTAACGTTTTTGGGCCTAGCCTTGCTGTAGAATTTTGTGAATACAGTAGCAAAGTCTGTTTCTGAGATCAAATTCATGTCGATATGATGCCTGTCACCTCACGATTCCAATCTGCAAGGAATATAAATGAGATCATATTTAGTAACTGTTTAAATTAATCCCAAATTTAGCCTGTGATTATTTTTATAACTAAAAAACTCGGCGACCAGAGATGTTCCTTTGTGTAATAGTGAAATGGTCAGTATATTGCTGTATTTGAAAAATGCAATTACTGTTTGTTTTACTGTTTGTACTTTGTACATGGTTACACAGAGTGTGAAAGAACTACGAATGAATTCTTTGCTTTGCCTTGATAATTCGATTGACACAGGCACCTGATATCTTTCCTATGTATTAGAGCCTATAGGGCCTACCTAATAGCCGTAGTCCCCATGCTGTGTTCCGTTACGTTGACAAGGACAGGTTTGCAGATTCAAACCCTTTTATATCCTCCTCTGTTGTTATGCTAAATCTTTGGGAGGAGGTGACAGCGTCACAGGGGCTGGTAATATCAATACTGTTCCCGGTGCCGGACTTTCAGGGGCAGGCATACTTGAATCAGCAGGAATGGCCAGCTCCAGATTCGTCTCTTTGGTCATCAGTGCAGTTATTTCACTTGATGATAAAATCTCTCCAAAATCCATGGTTTTCAATAACAAGTTAAATCCATCACTGCATTCAAAGTCTCCATATTCTAGAGACACGTCCGTAACATCGCTGTCAGACATATTGGCTCGAGTTAGCAGACGACGGTTTTTTAACGCTGAATATGCGAACTTAGTGAGATTTCTTATTGATCAATTTATAGTTGTTGCGCACAGATTTAAAAGGAAAAAACGTTAAAATTTTAAAACCATTAATAAACAATATCGTTTTTTTGTGAGGAGGGGGGATAACTGTTGTTTATATATAGTGAGGTCAGAGGTCATAAACAGTACAGGAAGTACTGTAAATATTACTACACACTTGCTTTTATTGAGGCATAACAACATTTTGAGTTGGTACTGTTATCAAGAGGGACTGCAATACAAATGTAAATATTACATTATAAACGGAAACAATGCCTGGTAATTATCTTCACTCTGTGTTCATTACATTATAAACATAAACATTGTATGGTGTGTATCATCACTCTGTGTTTATTACATTATATGAGTATATGAAGTCATGTCACAAAACCTATGAGCTATAATAGCATTGACGGTTATAAAAGAGTTGACTATATGCATTACTGTTGTGAAAACAGAATTTCTGTATTAAGACAGAATAACACACTATATTGTTTCATGTTTTGTGTGATTGCAATAACAATTTTGCATTTCCGTTAAATTTATGCTACACGAGAAGATAAAAGTATAATTATTACGTAATAAGGTATGTTATTTATGAACGGTGATTCAATGATATATGGAGGTGGTTTTACTGAACGTTTTTGATAATTGCTTTACTTAAATTTACTTAACATAACAAACGAGGCTTTTGTCGTTGTTTTATATCTTTTCTCTCTAAACTTATCATGTATATATAGATAATAACCGTTAGCATATTAACAATATCAGTACGACTTTTTCATGCCGCTTTCTGCAAACACTAAAATGAAATGAAAGATCCTTAGGATTTGCGTCTTTGTCAAACAGTATCCAAACTATGTTGGTAAAGCTATAGTCTGCTGAATAAACAATCATAGTATCCTTTAAAATACAAATACAAGTTTTCATCTGTAATCTTTCAAATTTGTGAATAACTTGTGTGCGTTTCATAATACGCAATCGTTGATTCTTTTTTTAAATAGTTGAAGGAAGGACATTATTATCAATGCAAACGTTTTAAACACTTGTTACTATCATTTTTTAGTTTAATAATTTGTGGAGAGTTCCTTTAAAGTGAGGTATCAAAGCAAAGCATACCAGATCCAAAAGCTACATGACAGCCTTAAGAGGATCATAATACAATCAAGGCATTATACATTTATTTCACCTCCGAATAAAAATAATTCTTGTTTACACGTTGCAATATCTGACAGGCTTTACCAAATAAATATCATGCATCTTGATTTTAATTGGTATTCAAATTCGGACATGTAGGGAATCAACATTCAATTTTGCAAGTAAACAGTCCTGTATCGGAACATTGGGATTTCTGGACAAATATGGTACTGGTGTAGATGTCTCTAAATCGTGTGTTGGTTATAAGAGAATCCGAATGAATAGAGCAAGATGATTTAAAATAGCATTATATAAAGTTAAAACATGCGGCTCTGATTTAAATTTGTAATAAAATTTGAATTTGAAGTTTTAATATTAGATTGTAAACAAAAGGTTCCTACTCTGCTTAGAACCAATTCGACTTCGATAGATTTGTTTCAGGATTGCTAAATTCAATTGATGTTCAATTGGATCTAGTAATTATCAATAGATACATCATATAAGTTTTTTTACACTTACATAGAACGTAGCAAACGGGATAAAAATGGAAATTCTGCGATCAAACCAGACTACTTTATGAAGTTCCGGGAAACCGAACACAGTGTAGCATTTCTGTTGTTTGATTCATGTCTGCATTAAGCCATATTCTTGTTATGTTTAAGTAATGTTTTAAAGAATAAAGAACGTTATTTTTAATGGTTATGATAATATTTCAAGTTGTGTTTTTTCACGTCCGATCGGGTAATCGAACTCCGGCTGCCTTAGTTAAAGGCGAGGGTGTTATCTACTGCGTCACCCGACCACTTTTTGGTTATTTAAATGTGATGTTGGACTATCGCACGTCCGCCCCTATCCGTTTTCAATTTATTGCAATAAGTTTGTGAAATTAAACTAGCAAGAGCAGAAAAAACAAACCTCCTTTGGATCTGCTCCTTTGTCCAACAGTAGTTTTATTATGTCAGTATGGCCATGGTAAGCTACGGCTGTCAATGCTTTGGACTGGATGAGAAAAAACAACATTTATCAGTGGATAAAAAGGGATTAAACTAAGATAATTCTGCCGTGATAGTATCAACAATATCGCTTCCTAATAAACATAACTAATATACTTGACAACAGTGTTCACATTACGTGTTAAATAAAAATAGAGAATTGAAAAAAAATTAAGGGTTAAGGAATGTAAATATACAATGTATTCATGACATAGAGTTTGTGATGGCTATTTTTTTAATTGATTAAATGTCATGTTAAATGCATATCTGATATAGTTGATATCCTGTCAACTACATCGCTTGGTAATATACAATGTTCCCTTTTCCTTATTAATTTTGGTTCAAATGACCGATGATTATTAGTATACAATCAGAAACAATATTTCAATACATGATTTAAAATGTATATATGCTGTGTGATTATGTGGCAGATATTGTTGACGAATTATTGATATGTCTTGATCTTAATATAAGTCGTTTCTAATATAAATATATAGTATTCTACTTTCGGGTTTCTCGCGAACTTCCTGTATGTAAGTAAGATAATCACAGATATATTTTACTGCTTCAGCTTGTAACATTCGTCTTATATTGACACACACTGGATTGATATGGAACAACCACACACACACATATAAATATACAGGTAAGTAGTGAAAGATAGGACGGTAATGAACTTGTAAGTAGTACTATAATATATGATATACGTGATACATCATCAGCTAGTCCGGATTTGTTTCCACGTAGCCTCACGTGTATAATTATCACTAGTACTGTATACATTTCGAATCGATGGGCGTATAGGTTTTCTACTTTGGTAATTCATATATCTATAATTTAAAAAATGTTTTCTACTACACTACACACGTGGAGGCATACGATCCCCATGTTTCACGGTGGTGTTTTTTTTGTCCGCCACTGTGACTACACGTTCAGTCCCCGACCAGCACTCCACGGTGGAATGTGACTCCACACTACACCGCTACTCCGCTATTGAACCGCGTGCAGGGAACGTGGAGGTCGTATAGAGTCCTAAAACGACACAAGGTATTCATAACGTGGAGGGATTGTATATTTAAGACACCTACTCTCCACAATGGTGCCATCCCTTTCCACTTTCCAACAGCTACACAGTCAGGCTTGGCATGTTAAGCTGTTTGAATATTGACTTTCGTTAGTATATACGTAACGGTAGATATATCAGGGATTTATTTAACGCATCACTTTTGGTATCAGTATTTTTTTTCATTTATATTTGAATATGAAAGCAACACTTATCCTGAGTGAGGACAAATCTATAAAAAAGCGTTACTGTATTATATGATTTTTCTTGTTTGGAATTATTTGGATCGGTGTTTTCTTTTGTCAGGCCGATTGAAGTGATTGAGTTGCTCACTACGCGCACCCTTGCCGGGTACCCCTATCGGTATAGTACGGAATGACCAGTTCTTACCAAAAAGGAATGTTCAAATATAGCATTATTACCGAAATAACGGAAATCATACCAAAACGACAGTCACACTATGCCGCATTTAATCAAACGATTTTTTATGAAAAAAATATTGTGATCTTGTTGTATATAGGTATTGTTTTATCATCTAATATGTATTATGTTGCGTAACAATAGGTGCACTTTGATATGTTTTCTACAGCATTTTCAAATATGAAGGTCAAGATCATTTTATCTCCAATCAAAATTTAACTTTTTTTCAAGAACTACAATTTCACGAGAATATGTTCAGTACGGAGAAGTTTTTCAAAGAAAAAAATCCACTCATACACTTCATTGATTTTTTCAGAAAATGAAATGCCAACAATCCATACCACAATAGAAACACTATTGATATTACTAAAATAACTGCTCTATTGAACACGAATTGATTTTAGTTATATTAAACAAGAAAAGCAAGAATGAAAAACAAAAGAAAAAATATATCTATATATCATGCTCTGCTGTGCGTCGAACCTCTTACCTCTATGCTTTGGGATACATAATCTACGTACTACAGTTGTGGGATTGCACAACTTTACACGATGTGCGGTGTGTGAACGGTGTGTGCACGATGGGCGAACGATAAAAAGCTGGACGATCATTGCTTGCGCACATCTGTGCGCACGATGGACGGACGTTGTGCGATAACAATCGTGGTTGGTGTAAATTGAGGAATGCCTTAACAATTTATACGGTTTCGTGTTTAAACATATAAACTTGATGTTTACGTATGTTTCTA